GTTGATCACAACATACTTCTTGACAGGCTGGATAACTGGGTGGGGCTTTCTGGGATAGTCCTAAAATGGTTCAGGTCATACTTAGAAGGGAGAGGTTATTTTGTGAGTATGGGAGAAAATAAGTCTGAGTGGACATCCATGACTTGCGGAGTCCCTCAGGGCTCGATTCTTGTGCCACTCCTATTCAACCTGTATATGCTCCCAATGAGCCAAATAATGAAAAAGAACCAAATAGCTTACCACAGCTATGCAGATGACACACGTCTAATGACTACAGCCCCATTAACTCCCTGTGCCAATTCATTGATGAAGTAAACGGTTGGATGTGTCAAAACTTTCTGCAGTTAAACAAAGACAAAACTGAAGTTATTGCGTTTGGAAACAAAGATGAAGTTCTCAAGGTGAATGCATACCTTGACGCTAGGGGTCTAACAACTAAAAATCAAGTCAGGAATCTTGGTGTGTCACTAGAGTCAGACCTTAGTTTCAATAGTCATGTCAAAGCAATAACTAAATCAGCATACTATCGTCTGAAAAATATTTCAAGAATTAGATGCTTTGTTTCCAGTCAAGACTTAGAGAAACTTGTGCATGCTTTCATCACCAGCAGGGTGGATTACTGTAATGGCCTCCTCACTGGCCTTCCTAAAAAGACCATAAGACAGTTGCAGCTCATACAGAACGCTGCTGTCAGGATTCTGAGCAGGACCAGAAAATATGAACACATCACACCAGTCCTCAGGTCTTTACACTGGCTGCCAGTTACATTTAGGATTGATTTTAAAGTATTATTACTGGTATATAAATCATTTAATGGGTTAGGACCTCAATATATTGCAGATATGCTCACTGAATATAAACCCAACAGATCACTCAGATCATTAGGATCACATCAGCTAGAAATACCAAGGGTTCACTCTAAGCATGGAGAGTCTGCTTTTAGCTATTATGCCAGCCGCAGCTGGAACCAGCTTCCAGAAGAGATCAGGTGTGCTCCTACAGTAGTCACATTCAAATCCAGACTCAAAACACATCTGTTTAGCTGTGCATTTACTGAATGAGCACTGTGCCGCTGTTCGTCCGACTGTTACTGCACTTCATTTTATTCTAAATAGTTTTAATTTACTGTATTTTATTTTTATCATAATTTTTATTTTTCATTATTTCTTATTTTTTATTCTAAACTGTTTTAATTATTCTGATTTCTTTTGATTATTTTAATTTCCTCTATGTAAAGCACTTTGAATTGCCATTGTGTATGAAATGTGCTATATAAATAAACTTGCCTTGCCTTGCCTTCAATCCCTTGCCTATCTCAGAGAGATTAAAATCATTTGTCATGGCAATATCATCTTTAACTGTTTTCTCGATGTTTGTTAAAATTTCTCTTAAAATGCTATCATCACTTACCTTTTCTTCATACAGTTCCTCATAAAAACCTTCTACCACTGATATTATATCCTGTGTGTCTGTCATTGTTTCTCCTTCTTTATTTCTCAGTTTGACTATTGCTCCACCTCTATCAATGATTTTCTTGAAAAAGTATCTAGTGCATTTTTCGCCTTCCTCGATTTCTCTCTCTTTGCTCCTGAAAATAATGCCTCTGCTTTTGACCTCAACTAGTTCCGACATCTCTTTTTTAACCTCTTTGATTTCTTCACTAAAATCAAACCCACTATTTAAAAGATTAAAATACCTCTGTAGTCTTTTTTGCAACCCAGTCATGCGTCTGTTTTCTTTTTTCTTTTTCTCTATACCTCTTTTCTTAAAAAACTGTCTCGTCCTTTCCTTTACCATTTCCCACCACTGTGCTCGTGAGTCAAAAAAGTCTTGGAGGGTCTGCCATCGGTTGAAATGCTCTCTGTATTCTCTAACGACTTCCTCATCCTCCAACAGAGAGCAGTTCAACTTCCACAGCCCTCCTTCTACTGTCACACCCGAGGGCAGTGAAAGGGTGCAGGATAGCATTATGTGGTCAGAAAAAAAGAGGGGGGATAATGTAGCATCGGTTGGCGGGCAGTCCCTTGTAAAAATGTAGTCAACTAAGTTAAAATCCCTTACTAAATTTTGCAATAAAACCAATGTTTTGTCCATTTTAAAGTCTTCTACCCTCTTCCTATCCCCCTGAGTTAAAACACAGTTAAAATCCCCTGCTACCACTAGGGGAGCCCTACCCAGCATGTGGGGTTGCAATTCTTCTAAAAGCTCATATCGTTCTTGTTTTTCTGTAAAACCATAAACATTAAGAACGTTAAAATCCTTACCTAAAAAAGTCAGATTAGCTAAAATTGCCCGCCCATCCCTCACCACAGTGCTGCCCTTCACCAAAATATTGGGATTTTTGATTAAAATAGCGACACCGTCATTTTTGTTAAAATTGGACCCGCTCCAGATGGAAACTCCTGGGGTCCAAATCTCCTCCCACATCCTGTAATTACTTAAAAAAGGCAGGCCACATTCTTGTAATAAAAACACATCCGACTTAAAAGATTTTAAAAAGGATAAAATGCTCTGTGCTTGAATATTGCTCCTCACACTTTTCCCATTGATGGTGGAGATAGTGAGAGCCATGAGCAGTATGGTAAAAATAATATGAGACATTTAAAAGCATCAAGAGGGGACTACAGAGCTATCGTTAAAATCATGTTATTTCTTGTTGCACTTGCCATTCCTTTTCCCCAGAAAACCTGGGATCAGGGAGGAAAGTGCTCGACACCTCAGGGCTCACAGAGATAACCTCTTGCGAGCATTGGGAAGAGAAGAAACTGTCTCAATCCCACTAGTTGACCCACTAGCCTCAGACACGGTTACGAGGGAGGAAGCCGTTTCCTCCTCTTTATCGTCCGCCTCTTCTTTACCATTATCGTTTTGAGGATTGGCTTCCTCCCTCTGACCAGCTGTTCGAGTTGACTCCGCCCCACTTCCTTCTTGCTGTCCAATCCCCGAGGCTGGCAGGGGGTTTGAATTTCCCGCCAAAACCTCAAGGCCCGCCTCCTTTATCGTTTGATCTTTGGGTGGGGCGGTCATTTTGTTGTTTTTTAGCTTGTTGGCAAAACTTTGGGGGCAGTCTCTGTAGAGATGGGATGATTCTCCGCAGAGGTTGCACTTTCTGCCATTTTTGCACTCTTCAAAAGTGTGTCCAATTTCTCTGCACTTCCTACACACTACTTCTTGGCACGCCTCGGCGAGATGCCCAAGTTGGCCACACTTGCGGCATAGCTTGGGCATCCCTTGATAATGGATGTAACCTCTATTCTCTCCCAACACAATCATAGAAGGAATTTGACTCAGGCCATGGTAGCTGTTGGGATCTGCCCATTGTTTAATGGGCACTCTCCACGCACAGCTCCAGATACCGTCTTCATCTAAAACCTTGACTGGTTGACCACGAATAGAGCAATATCTTGCCAACCATACAGCAATTTCTTCTCCACTAACTGTTTCATTAAACATCCTGACAATCACCACTTTCAGCGAATTATCAGTCAGTTTTTCCAGTGAACATGGAGAAATTGGCTTTACACAATTCATACCGAGCCCAAAAAGTACTTAGCAAGCAAGCAGAAGCAAAACTAACATCAAAGCCATGATTCAGGGGCAGAGTCAACAAGCAGTTTATATCCATAGCTTTAAAACCGAGTGTCTGTTGGATGCACTTCCTGGAAAAGTCACGAGCAGCCGACATGTTGGAGGCACCACTAGCCTGCTGCGGCTAAAATCCAACAATAAATATACAATAAATAAATTAAAACCTGCTTACCTTAAAACCAGAAGATTCCTCGTAGAACGAGTCATCAGTTAAAAGCCGCTTTTCAATGTACCTCCTGAAAGGTGTATGTCCCGTGTGACAAGCAACACACGAGACCAAGTCCAACAAGAGGCAATCGCTGTCTCAGACGTCCGACCAGACCACTTGATCTTAGCCAAAAGGCCGAGAAGCGATGACGCAGAGGACGCCGAGGCGGGGGAGCCGGCAAAGGCCACGCCCACCTGGGCCGCGGCGAGAGGGTCTAAGGTCGCCGGCAAACATGCTCAGCTCAGATTGGTTGACACCGAAAATGGATCACAACAGAGTGCACAGCACGACACTCTGGAGTGCAACCTGGGATTTTGGATCATCAACATTTGAAACTCTGAGGGATGGTAGGACTGGCCCGGTACTACAACCTCACCAAGGCTCGCCCCGATCGGCCCCAAGGTGGCGCTGCAGCGATCAAAAGTACGAAATGGCTCGTAACTCCTCGACCGTCGGTCGCAGACCCAAGTGTCTTACATCACCGGAATCCTTGGCTCGAGCCGAACAAGATGCATGCATCGGATTGGGTGATCACGCGGCGAGATTTTCGGGTAAAAAGATTTTCTGAAAAACCTACTTTTGCACACTAGTCCTAGGTTTTTTGCCCGATCTGACCCAAACCGGTGCAGAAAGATTCTCTGGAGTCTGACTGCCAACAGGGATCGGGAAACAGTCGGAATTTCCATCCACGTTGGCGACGGTACGCCAAAACGTTGGGGGTGGGCGAGGTGGGCTTTACTGAAATGGCTATAACTCTCCAACGGAATGAGACAATTGTACCCAACTCGGTACACCTGTGTACAGGCTCAGCCCGTGGTCACGTGAAGAGGAATGTGGCGACTGGCCACTTGGTGGCGCTGTAAACAGAAAAAAACACAACATGGGTGGCTGTATATCATGTAACGTTTCACACGTGCACAATGTTTTCATACCACATGATAGAACTCCACATTCCGAACAACTTTGCCTCCAGGACAACTGCTGTGAACTAAATCGTTCGTCAAATATTGGAGATCATTTGAAGAATTAAGAAGAAAAAAGAAAACCCTCCTTACACAGACCGGTCCTAGACTGTTTCGTATCTCCCGAGCAACCACTGCAGTTCAACTCTCTGGACTGCCTCTAGATATTGAAGAAGTGGAGAAAAAAAACAAAAGAACCTCAAGTGGAGCTTTAACAATCTGCCCTTTTAACCAGTGTTGTCCAGGGGAGAGCGCGAACGCAGTCCCCCACTACCATAAATTATGCAGTCGAGATTCCCACATTTGGGGAATTCGCAAGGAGTGGTTTCTACAGTAGTGCATTAAGTGTAGACTCACCGTAGACTCTGACGCGACCGTAGAATACCAATCGGAAAGTAGATATCCTCCCGGAACGTAGACAGCCAATCGCAGACCATAACTGCAGCGAACGTAGACTGCCATTCACAGACCCACTTCTTGGATGTAGACAGCCAATCGTGGAGTGGAGCGACAAGTAATAGTAAAAGCCAGAATTTACGAGCGAAGAAGACGTCAAAAACTCATTGAAAAGTTGAGTGACAACGACAACAAAGTGCAGGGTAAACCTATCAATTAATTTCAAATTTTAATTTGTATTGACAGTACAGATAGTTTTCTTAACTGTTAGTCAAGGCAATTGCATCTATGATTGTTTTCCTAATCGCGGCATACAGCAGATACAGTATACAAGCGTTTGATGTCTGCCTTATAATGCTGTACCTAATAGTACTGCCTTATAGTACTGTACTTAATAAGTACCTTGTAAATTTGTTAGCAAAATATCACAACATATGTTCATATTGACAAGCAGCATTAAAGGTTCTCTAAGCAATGCTGGGCCTAAACATTTTTGTCATACATCAAACGTCTCCTCACTATCTGCCTCGCTAGCTGCCTGTCCCCTAAACACACTGTAAAAAAACGCGGTCTCTGTAGACACCACAGGCTCCACAAACGGCAACAAAAACAATCATGTCTTACCCGGACCACGAAACCTAACAAACAGTGTTCCAGCCAATCACAAGAAGTATTTGAGGGTGGGTCTGGGGGGTTAGTGCGCGTGCACATGGTGTGTGTGTGTGTGTGTGAAGGAGAGCAGCGAAGCATCAGAGGGAAGTTTGAAAAATTACCGACACACGACGAAAGAGACGTCGTTCTGAGGAACAAATTAAAAAGAAGGAGTCGGATAAAGAACGTGCAAAGTTCCAAATTTACATCGGTAGCAAAGCTTTTGAACGATGGCAAGAACTCCGGCAGCAGAAGGGCTTACAGTCCGACATTCAGGTTGCTCTGTTTTTGCTTGACAGGTGGGTAACGTTAAATTGTTTTTTTTCTTCTAAATTGACGCTTATGTTCGCCAAACCCACACAAGGATATAATTAGCTAGAACTATGCACGTTCACAATTATTTCAGGAAGCACGGAAGGGAGGGGGAGGAGATGAGATGCGGAGGAGGGAGGGTCTAGCTCCGATTTGTTTGAAAATATTCGAACGTCAACACCCAGGATCGCTTTGAGAACCTTTAATGTGACATTAGTATACAAGCATTTGATGTCTGCCTCATAATACTGAAAAGTACAATGTTATCTGTTGAGATATTTTTGTTACAAATTTACATTGTACGTTTCAGTATTATGAGACAGACATCAAATGCTTGTATACTAATGTTACATTAATGCTGCTTGTCAGTATTATGAGACAGACATCAAATGCTTGTATACTAATGTCACATTAATGCTGCTTGTCAATATGAATAGGCTATATGTTGAGATATTTTTTTATTCATATTGACAAGCAGCATTAATGTAACATTAGTATAAAAGCATTTGATGTCTGTCTCATAATACTGAAAAGTACATTGTAAATTTGTTAGAAAAATATCACAACATATGTTCAAATTGACAGTAGTAGGCATGCGTCTGTCAAGAATGACAATGCTTGGGTAGTTCACATTAGTCCATGTTGGTTAACTTCATCCGTCTTTCCCTCAACTTTAGAAGGTTGTTGGCGTGGTCTAGTTGTCTTCCTTTGTGAAGTTGAGCCCTCCACTGATCCCGATTCCTTGATGCTACGGTCCATGATTCAGGTTGAATGCCAAAGTCCACAAGATCTCGCTTGAGTACATCTTTAAAGCGAAGCTTTGGTCTTCCAATGTGACGAGTTCCCTCTTCCAGAACGCCATGGAGGATAGAATGAGGGATGCGGGAAGGTGGCATTCTGTTTACATGTCCTGCCCATCTAAGACGAATAAATTTGAGCCTAGATGATAGAGGTCCTGAATTAGTTATCTTAAAGAGTTCCTCGTTTGTCATCTTGTCTTCCCAGGTTTTTCCTATGATGAACCGCAGGTTTCTGGTGTGAAAAGCACTGAGTCTACTTTCTTGTGGGCGATAGGTTGGCCAGCTTTCTGCTCCGTAGAGGAGAATGCTCAGAACACAGGCTTCATAGATTCTGACTTTAGTTCGGACAGACAGGTACTTATTCCGCCAAACTCGTTTAGTGAGTCTTCCGAAGGTAGAAGCTGCTTTACCAATTCTGGTACCCAATTCAAGATCAAGTGTTGCATTTCGAGTTATTGTAGAACCCAAATAAATGAAATTTTCAACTTCTTTAAGTGGGGTCTCATTGATTGTAAATGTATGAGAGTCATGGGCATGTGACATTGTAACAGTCTTTTCAGGCTAATGGTGAGTCCGAATTTGTCACATGATTCGGCTAATCGATCTATCAGGATTTGAAGCTGATCTGGAGATGACGCGCATAAAGCAGCATCATCAGCGTAGAGTAGTTCACGCACAACAAATTGCTGGGTCTTTGTTTTAGCTTTAAAACGAGACAGATGGAAGAAATCACCATCGTTTCGTGACAATAGAGAGACACCAGTGTTGTTGTCCAGGTCTTCGTATGCTCTTTTGACTACATATGAGAAGTAAATACCAAACAGTGTAGGCGCTAATACACAGCCCTGTTTTACACCTCGTTTGATGGGAAACGTACCAGACAGCTCACCGTCAAACTTCACCCTACCCAGCATACCGTCATGAAATGACTGAATCAGTAAGAGTAGAGTAGGTGGACAGCCAGCTTTCTCAAGGACCTGGAAAAGAGATTTTCTGTCCACGTAGTCAAAAGCTTTTGTTAGGTCAACAAAAGCCATGTAAAGCGGTTGCCACTGCTCTCGTGACTTCTCCTGTAGTTGTCGGACAGCAAATATCATATCAGTGGTTGATCGCTGTGGTCGGAACCCGCACTGCGATTCTGGATATGTATCTTCAGCGATTTCCTGCAAGCGTTTCAGTAGAATACGAGCAAGTACTTTGCCAGTGACAGACAGCAATGAAATACCTCGATAATTGTTACAGTCACCACGATCACCTTTGTTCTTATAAAGAGTGGTGATCGTTGCATCTTTGAAATCTTGTGGCACTTGTTTGGCATGCCAGCATTTCAGAATGAGTTGATGAAGATGACTTTGGTCAAATTGACAAGCAGAATTTAATGTATATAGATTATACAGGCATTTGATGTCTGGCTCAGCATATTCACAAGCAGCATTTAACCACATGGCCGACAACATTAAGTTGATAAGACAGTGAAACAAACTTTTATGAATGAATATTTATTTAAATATGAATACAAGAACCAACATTAATCAGCCATTCATACTTATGCATTTTGATGCCTTTTAGCTAGTGATAAAAGCAAAATAGCATTTTATTGTAATTGTATTGTTGCATTACTAAATTGTCCCATTATTAAAGTTATCAATACTTTAACTACCTCACATTTAAAACTGGATGTCCACATGTTATCTTTCACAATATGCATATTTCAATTTCAGCAAACATTGACATGGCAAGTCCAGTGATCCGGGTTGTAAATCCAAGTGCTCCACTGGATTGTCAGCAGGCTGTAATAATGGCAACGAAGGAGGCCCGTGCCTATAGAGAGAGAAGGCTGAGCTTCCCTCTGCCACCTGCACAGCTGCTAGACGAGTCCACCGCCTTGGCCCAAGCGAAAAAGCTCCTTCGTGCAGGAGGGACCTCAGCAGCACCATCACGGCAGCAGTGCCTGGGGAAGCTGGTGGTGCCATTTGGTCAGTACCTTAATGCTCCGTTCCACTGGCTTGTGGAAAATGATGTGGGCTACATTAAGTAGTAAGTATTGTTTTTATGTATAATTATGTTTTCAGTGTGCAGGTTTTACCAGCTGAATTTAAATAATATGTGTAATTGCAGTTTGGTCGACAGGCACAGAGAAGACCTTGCCAAGAAACCTAAGAAGATTAACCATCACTGGATAAAGGACTTCCTTGCAGAGTACGCTGAGAGCTTCCCTCAAATATCCATCGTCCTGGAGGCCAACATCGAATACTGTATATATGGGCAAAAAGGGTTTGAAAATCACACCTTTAAGGAGATGTGGGAGCTCTACTGCCAGCATTCTGCCCAGAATGACAGGCCACACGACTTCAGCAGCAGTCAGAGGGATATGATCAAGAAGGCACACAGCTCTGTCTGCCGGTGGCTGCATACACCTGTAACACACATCACCAGTGTTCAGATGAAAAGGTTTAGGATGTACATTTATGACAAGGATAACCAAGTAAGTGGCCTGCAATGAAAACATTTTTTTATTATGAATACATATCAGCAAACAAACGAAAAAAAGTTTTTTCTTTATGCAAGACATGTGTAATTTAAAAGTCGGTAACACTTTATTTCGATAGTCCACTTTAGACATTCTACTAAGACATTCTACTTTAGACAAGTAACTTTTCAACTACATATCAACTAACTGTCATTAGAGTATTAGTAGACTGTCTGCTTAATATCTGCTAACACTTTATTTTGTTGGTCCCCCAACACAGAGCCGATCCGCCCTATACGCTCACTACGCAAGCTGTGTAGGGCCCCGCAAATTACTCAAGGCCCCGCCTCCCCCTCCTCATGTCATAGCGCGTCAATTAATGTTGACAAAATGAAGCGAAACTATCCCTCTGGTCACGATAAGAGGAAGAAGAAAAAACATGAGAGTGAATTGCGGGAACAACATTCAGGTAAACTTGTGTTGCCTCCTCTCCAAATTTGCTGTCAGTCAGCAAAGTAAAGTTAAGTTTACATTTCTATTGTGTTTTTTTCGGTCTTGCTAACCTAGCTGGGCAGACAGGCAGTGCATCTCTTGCATCACTTCTCTTTGTGCCTGACTGACAAAAGTGAGAGTAAAATACAATTATTTATTACGTTTGTTTTTGATAAACAACAAAGTGCAAGTTGTGCAACGGTGTTTGTTTACTGCAGCTCGGAAAATATGATCGCATGTGTTATTATGCTATCATGCGTTCATATGCGCGTGCACGA